CCTCTGGAGGCTCCCCATCTCCGCTGAGGACTCTCCGGAGTCACGGAGCTAACCCCGGTAGGTCCGCCATCAGCAATCAGCAATCTGTAATCTGTATATTTTCTTTTTATCAGAAAAGCAATATTATTATCCTCTAATATTAGTAGATGAGAGGGGAAAGTCCTTTTAGGTACAATATCCATTTAAAAACCCACAAGGTTGTAATTTTTTTGGCTATAGAAACACTAATTTCTACTTTTCTTGCCAAAGCTTGATTGAACCGCTCTATACATGATTCACTTTCTTGTGTGCTTCATCTTAGTTTGGTGCACCTGGAGAAGAATACTCATGCTAATGCTGTTTATTGATTTTAGTTTGGTGTTCATCAAAATCATTTCCCAGCATTTGGTGAACAATCTGGGCCTATTAGGTTTTAATATTTCTTTACATAACTGGGTCTTGACTTCCTTATTGATAGGCCTCAGTTTGTGCGAGTTGGAAGGAGTTTCCAATTCCATCTTTTTGAGTACGGGTTCCCCACAGGGCTATGTTTTGAGTCCGTTATGTTCACCTTGATGACCCATGACTGCTATGCTAAGTCTGCTACAAATCCTATTGTGAAGTATGTGGATGACATGGCATTGGTGGGTCTTATCCGGGAGGATAATGAAAATTCATATAGGGATGAGATGAACGCTTTGGTGGACTGGTGAAAAAAATATAACCTAGTTTTTAATGTTAATAAAACAAAGGAGATTGTTGATTTTAGAAAGGGCCAGCAATCGTATTCCACTTTGTATCAAGACTGCAGCTGTGGAGATGGTCGATAGTGTTAGGTACCTGGAGGTGCAGCTAACTAACTATCTTAGTCTCTTCATAAGTTGTCTTTAGTGAAGCGTGCAAACCACCGTTTGCATTTCTTGCATCAGATGAGGAAAGCACATCTTTTTCCTTCTGTCCTAGTCACTTTTTACAGAGGCACAATTGAGAGCGTTTTAACAAACTGCACCACTGTTTGATTTGATGGTAACAGTTCCTCAGATAGACGGTCCATATAGAGCAGACATGTCAAACACAAGGCCCAGGGGCCGGATGCGGCCCGCAAAATGGTTTCATATGGCCTGCGAAGCCATCCTGGAAACAGTGAGGGAACGACCCCCATTGCCTTGGCCCTGGCCCAGGCCGGCCGGGAGGGAGCCAATGTACAATTTTGTGGTGGCCATCTATACTGAAACGCATTCAGTCTTAGCTCCACAAGGCCATCTAGAAACAGCGAGGAACCAGCCCCTGCCGCGTCAGCCCTGCCCCCGGGTGCATGCTTCACCCTTTGTGAAGAATGAAGAAATGCACCATCGCCTGGAAGTGGCCAGCAAATGGCCCTCGCCTACTTCACATATCTGGCTTGATGGGCTCCAGCAGAGGGGTTTCAGCAGGAAGTGAAGCTCCTCCAGTGGACCATGCCTTGGCACTTGCCCCGGTCCCACCCCCTTCTGCCAGAGACCCTCAGATCTGTCCCACTCCTGCCCAGGCCCCCATAGGCACCCTTGAATTGAACGATGTAGAGCTGGCCATGACCACCCAATAGGCCACACCCACTCCATCCACACCTACCCAGTAGGCTACATCCACCCGGCCCCCCCAAGGGCAACTGCAATGCTGATGCGGCCCTCAATGAAATTGAGTTTGACATCCCTGATATAGAGAGTGGTAAGGACAGCTGAGATTATAGGAAGCTCACTTCCTGTTATTCAGGATGCTGCTTATAAGCACCCCACACACCCACTTCACGGTCTGTTTGTTGCTCCCCTCTGGGAGGAGATTTCAAAGTATTTATAGCAGAACTCACTTAGATTCTATAATAGCTTCATTCTCTATGCCATCCGTCTTGTAAATTTGGAGATTTCTTTTCCCCCCCGCCACATATATGTATACATTTGAACTAGACTGTGATGTTTCTCTGTGTCATATAAGCTTGTGTATGTGGATATATGCATTGTGGTATTTTTTTGAGAACGGAACGTAATGTAGTTTCATTTTAATGTATGCTGATTAGTGTACATTTAAAGAGTACAAATAAAGTTTTTATTTTATTCTATTCTATTGGGGTGTTCCTGGAAGGGATGATTGGAGAAGACTGGGAGCATACAGCAAGAATATATATTCTAAGCAGTGTCATCCAAGGCAGGAAGATCATCCCAGCTAAAGTGAGCATACAAGTGAGCAAGCACTTATATTGGGTGGCAATAACATAGAAAGATGCTAGACGTGGAAGATAACTTTAGCGAAATCAGGAAAGGCAGTATTTCATTCTGCACAAGAGAAGACAGTAGTAAACCATTCCTGTATTGTACCAAAAAAATCAGATGGATAGGCAGGTTGAAATGATTAATGATATAGCACCGGATGATGGCACCTTGGGTCAGATGGCACTAACCATCTACTGAAGAAGAGCTTAGATTGTTTTAGAATACTAATGGTGCTTATGATGTGACTATATCAAAGCCTTTAAGATGTCTAGTTGCTAGTGATGCCCTGAAAAAGAAAAGAAAGTCCAGAGCTACAAAAACAACATTATAGTGGAAGTCTGGAATATTATGCACTGGAATTGGACACTTTCAGAAGATTATATTACTATCAAAACATAAAAAAACAAAGGAGGGAACAGTGCTGCTTTCATATTCAGGAAGGATTTAGTTATAATGGGCAGAAAAAATAACTGTGAGGAACAGAAGGAAGAGCTACAACCATGATAATGGTCAGATAAAAGAAATCTGAGTCCAGGACAGAAATGTAATTTGAGAAAAGTGTGTCAGACATGACCTTCTTAGTTTTCATGAAGAAGAAAGGAAGGAGGGGGAGAAACACTTTCATGCTTGCAAGACTCTTTACAAACCTTATAATAAAAGTAGTATGTCTTTGGTTTCCAGGTTTGTCTATCTTGGAAGACTGACAGTAGCAAAGAGAGTACTTGGGTACAATGTAGTCAATGAATAAATAATAGCAATTAGATGTTATTCAAGTCTATTCTCCAATCATTAAGAAGAGGCCTATGGACTTTATGGTTAAGTTTTATTTGAAATTGAAAGAACACACAGGTGAGAGTTGCTGCTTATGGTTGAAGCCTGGAATGCCAAAATTGAAAATAATAAGATGTAAAACATAGTTGGATTGTATGGCCTAGGAAACAGATATGAAGCAAGGGAACTTATGTTTCTTCCAATCCAGTGATGTTCTCATTGCTAACATTATGTTCAAAAATCACTAGATGGAATACCCAGAAATCAAATGGACTGTATTATTGATATAAGGAGCTATAGAAGCTCAGTTATAACAGCAAACATGTGGCCAGGGACTAATAGTGTAATAAATTACAAACTGTCCATATGCAAATTTCAAGTCAAGCTGAAGTGGGGGAACAAAGCCAACTAGTTTCCATGATATGATCCTAAGTATGAGGAAGTAGAACATGAGGAATTGTTGAATATCACTGTGGAATGAAATCAAGGATGTTATTAAGAATGAATGTGAAGAGACTACCAAAGATCAAGAAACAGAAGAAAGCAGACCAAATATCAAGAGACATCAATATTCATACATTAGAATAGATTATTGAGAAAGCCCAAGAATACCCAAATACGTCAATAGGTGCTTCACTGATTATAAGGTACAAGTCAGTTTTGTTGACCATGCCAAGCAGTGGAATATCCACAGGAAAATAATAATCTCACATCTTATTGTCATTGTTTCCTGCACACTGGCAGAGAACCACTGACCATGGGAAAACTAATCATGTCCAGTTGGCAAAGGAGTGAAAAAAGGCTGTATACTCTGATCAGTTATTTGATCTACATGTTGAATATACACTGAGAGATGGAAGATAAACATGGTTTTAAAACTGGAGGAAGAAACATCAATAATATGCACTATACTGATGACACTGATAGATGAAAATGCAAAAGATTTGGAAGCTCGGGTAATAAAAGTCAAGCAATACAATTTAAAAAAACCAAACCAAGATGAAATATAAAGAACACCAAAGAAATCATAACAGGTACAACAATCAGTTCTAGAACTGACAATAAATTTACTGATCTGATGATAACTTCTGCCTTAGGATCAATTAAGTAAAGAAATTAGCAGATTAGTATTTGGCAGGGTAGAAATGAAGTCCTTGAAATAGTTATTTTTGTCTATACAAGCAGCTCTACTATAAAGCCAGTTGAACCTTCAGTTCTTTAAGATTCCTGAAAACATGTTCTTTCCTACTCTACAACTACACTACAGATTGGCACAAATTAATCTGGAATGCATCCAGATTATGGTGTATATTTGTTATTCCTATTATGTTATTCCCTTCGTTTGCTTTTAGGTACTGTGTTGTTTTCTAATTTGTATTGAGAGTCGTTGTGAGCCACTCAGAGATGCCATTATAAATCTTTTTAAATAAAATTCCCTTCAGAACTGGATGAATTTATACATCAGAATTTCCTTTAAAAGCTTCAGGATTTTTCTTTATTATAATCTGAATAGTATAAGTTATAATCAAATTAAACATTTGCAATGTCTGCCCCAATAAACTCTTTCTGTATGAAGTTGGTTGCCCCACATCAGGCTCCTTTGTAGTGCATCAATAATTACGCTGCCTCAACAGTTACTTTTATCCACACATGATCGACCAATACACAAACCGACAACTGTGCATAACTTCTGCCTAAGGAGGCCAGCCATAGCTCCATATTTAAATCATTTTAGGGTCTGGGCAGTCTGAGCAACCAGTATCTCCTTCTTTCAATCCTATCCAGGTATCAAAAATTACACTCCCCCCGAAGGATAGCATAAGTTCCGGACAAACCGGCCGGCCACCAATGTAAGAAAAAGGCCAACTGTTCCTTTGCCTCTCGCTCGCTCCGAGCAACCCGCCGGCCTCGCAGCGTTCAGCCCAGGAGGAAAAGGGCCGAGCCGGGCTCTACGCGCCAGCGAGGGTGGAGCTCCGAGCGCAGCGCATGAGTGTTCGTCTTTTGCAGTGGCGCGAAGCCGCAGAGACGGGGCAGGGGTTTCTTTTGGCTTGCCGGGTTTCACCAAACCCTCCGCTTCCACTCGGCGGTGGCCGGAGCCGGGAAGCGCCCATAGCAAGGGAATTCTTCCCCGCCCCAGCCGTGCCCTTGCGCTCTGCTACAGCTCGCAGGGGTCATCTCCGTTCCCGGGAGAGGTTATGAAGCTTACTAAAGCCCAATACGAAGAGGTGGTTCAGTTCCTGGCTCAGGTACCGCCCACCCGGCAGAGCCTGAGCAAACTAAAGGAAAAATTCCCCAGGTAAGTCTACCCCGGGCAGCCTCTGTCCTTCCCCCCCCCCCTTCCCGCCGCCTGGCTCTTCCAAGGCAAATTCCGCCCCTTTTTTTACGCGAAGGAAGTGAAAAAGTCAGCTGTCGGAAGTACCTGTTAACAAGTGGCGGCCCGCGCCTGCGGGGAATCCTTTTTTGTAACGGGAGAGGAGACCCTTTACCCTGCTTTGCGGCGTGATAAAAGGCTCACTTCCATCTACTGTTATTTCGCTTCGCTGTTTTTGTGCTGGATTTTAAAAAGGAAGCGGGAGAGTAGAGGAACAGTAAAAAAGAAATGTGACTCTGGCTTGCTAAGGAGCTCAAAATGAAAGTTACCCATGAGTAAAGATGTAAAGTGCGGTGTGTCATCTCTAGAATGGCCACTCCTAATGTAAATAAGCTGCTAGTTCTCAATAAATTATCTATTCTTCTTTTCAGCGTGGTGTGGGACTGTAGGATGCCAACTGTCGTGGGAACCAGTTCTAATACTTTTTCTTTTAAGATTTGGTATAAATACCTTAATTCTTACAATAGAGATGGTGGAGCAGTGTTTAGATACAGTCCTTGATTTACGTCCACACTTGAGGCCAACATTCCTGTTGCTAAACAAGACACTTAAGTGAGTTTTACCCCATTTTATGACTTTTCTGAATCACTGTAGTTGTTAATAAAATGGTTGCTAAGTGAATCTGGCTTCCCCATTGACTTTGCTTGTCAGAAGGTCACAAAAGGTGATCACGTGACCCTGGGACACTGCAGCTGTCACAAATACATGTCAGTTGCTAAGTCCAAATTTTGATCATGGGGATGCTGCAGTGATCGTGTGAAAAACAGTCATAAGTCACTTTTTTAGTCCTGTCGTAACTTCGAATGGTCACTAAACAAATGGTTGTAAGTCGAGAACTACCTGTACTATCCATATGCTTGCACTTTATAATTTACACTCGCTTCTACAAAAGGTGCCATTTTCCCAAGTAGGGTATATTTCCCTAATCTTCCCAAGTACTACAGATCTGATATAGTTTGGAGCTTTGTATGGCCACATACCACAAGAAAAAATAAGGTCAATTGTCTCTGTTAGCTTACCAGACAGATTGGTTAGGGTAATTTGGATTATCAAGAACGCTGCCTTAAATGATTGGAGGAACAGTAGACTGAAATAAAAAAGTCTAAAACATGTATTACTATTTCTTAGTATCGTAAAAATAATGTTCATACATTTTATATTCACGTTGGCAAACATATTTAACAGCTCCTTTAGCACTTAACTCTTTCTAGCGTCACTGAAAAGTCTTAATGGTAGTCATATTATTTCATTGCAATAAAGCAACCAAAGCTATCTGAAATATAGCTGAATTATACCATTTAATTTTCTCATTCTAGAGGCCATTCTGTCTGGTAGGTTAAATAATCACTGAGATAGGAAGATACAAGTACTAAAGATATACAACACTTGGACATGTTTTATGTTTACATGTATATAAGGATACCTAGATAGCATCTGTGTACACCTCCTTAAAACAGTGGCCTCTTTTTGCCCTGGCATCATATGGCTGCTCTCCTCAGCCACAGGGTAATCATGGAAAAAAATACTTGTTCTGTGCGGTCCTCTCTGAGCTTAATTGCTTGCATATGTTTTATTATCCAACTAGGTAACATCAGTGTGAGTGTAAGTGATGTTAACTAATTGGGTAATGAAATGTTGCAAGCAAATAGTCAAACTCAGAAAGCACCAAGGACTCCATAGTTACATATATATGAGCTACATATATATGAGCTACATATATATGAGCTACATATATTCTTTTTTATTGGGCCATACATTATGTTTGAAGAGTTGCAGGTGCCATGTTTGTGACCCTACATGCTTGGAAGCTCCACTTCTGAATCTGAATCCTTGTACAGCTCTACTTCATACCAAAAGACAGGATTAACCTTCCTCAGACTGAGGATCATGCTAGTTGTACATAACAGCTTGAAGGATGTCCTCAAAACGTGAGTGAACCTGAACTCCTTTTGGGAGATAGTGGGTTTTTAAAGGGAAAAGAGAGAGAATTTGTTACTTAAAAATTTCCATGTAAAAAGGGAAAAACAATTTAGGATTGGCTGTAAGACTTGATTTTCTAGTTTACCTTAGGCCAGTCACTCTCCAAGCCCAACCCACCTCATAGAGTTATCTAGACTATGTTTGCATAGGAGGAAGGAGTATTAGGTATGTTTGCTACCTTGAGTTATTTATAAAAATAATAAAGGCAAAAATAAAATAAATAAAATAAAATAAAATAAAAATGAGCCAGCAGTGTGTTAAATATGAGCCAGCAGTGTGCTGCAACTGCCAAAAAAGCCAACATAGTGCTAGGCTGCATTAACAGAGGGATAGAATCAAGATCACGTGAAGTATTAATACCACTTTACAATGCCTTGGTAAGGCCACACTTGGAATACTACATCCAGTTTTGGTCACCACGATGTAAAAATGATGTTGAGACTGTAGAAAAAGTACAGAGAAGAGCAACAAAGATGATTAGGGGACTGGAGGCTAAAACATATAAAGAACAGTTGCTGGAATTGGGTATGTCTAGTTTAATGAAGAGAAGGAATAGGGGTGACATGATAGCAGTGTTCCAATATCTCAGGGTTTGCCACAAAGAAGAGGGAGTCAAGCTATTCTCCAAAACACCTGAAGGCAGGACAAGAAGCAATGGATGGAAACTAACCAAAGAAAGAAGCAACCTAGAACTAAGGAGAAATTTCCTGACAGTTAGAACAATTAATCAGTGGAACAACCTGCCTCCAGAAGCGGTGAATGCTCTAACAGTGGAAGTTTTTAAGAAGAGACTGGACAGCCATTTGCCTGAAATGGTATAAGGTTTCCTGTCTGAGCAGGAGGTTGGACTAGATGACCTCCAAGGTCCATTCCAACTTTGTTATTATTATTATTATTATTATTATTATTATTATTATTATTATTATTATTATTATTATTATGGATCATCGCACAGTCAGCCAGATGTTCAGACTGGATTTGGCATTTTGTCTACCTATCGAGTCCTTTCCCAGGACCTGGGATAGGCAGAAGTGGATGTTTGATGGTATTACAGATATCGTCGCAGGATGGAAGCAGTTCCTAGTAAGGCCGCCTTTTGCAATTGACTAATAGCGAATTTGTCAATGCCAATGGTGTTCAAGTGGTGCTCCAGTTGTTTTGGAATTGCACCTAAGGCGCCTATTACTATTGGTACTACTTTTGCTTGCTTTTGCCACAGTCTTTTTATTTCTATTTGTAGGTCTCTGTATTTTGTTATCTTCTCCAGTTCTTTCTCGTCTATTCTGCTGTCTCCAGGCACTGCCACGTCCACTATCCAGACTTTTTTTTGTCTTTCTTATCGACAATTGTTAAGTCTGGGGTGTTATGTTGCTGGTGCAGTTTAATTTTATCATTTTCTATGACTTTCTCTATTTTATGATCCCACCAGTTTTTGCTTACAGGCAAATGATATTTCTTGCAGATCTTCCAATGCATCATTGTTGCTACTTTGTCATGCCGCTGCTTGTAGTCAGTCTGTGCAATCTTCTTGCAGCAGCTTACCAGGTGGTCCACTGTTTCTTCAGCTTCTTTGCATAGGCGGCACTTACTGTCTGTTGCTGTCTTCTCAATTTTGACTTTATATGCATTTGTCCTTAAGGCTTGGTCTTGTGCAGCCAGAATTAGACCCTCGGTCNTACTTGCAGCATTCCACGCCCACCTATTTGCCTTGGTAGATAAAGTCTGTCAATATCACTTCGCGGATGAAGGGCATGATTCATTGTCATTATTTTTCTGGTCTTCCTATCCATTGCTTTTAGTTCTGCTTGAGTCCAGTCCACTATTCCAGCTGTGTATCTAATGACTGGAATTGCCCAGGTGTTGATTGCCTTTATAGTATTTCCTCCATTGAGTTTGGATTTTAAGATCTTCTTCATTCTCTTGATGTATTCACCTCTGATCTTTTTCTTGACTTCAGTGTGCTTGATGTTGTCAGCTTGAAGGATACCCAAGTATTTGTAGTAATCTTCCTCATCCAGACTCTTAATGTTATTTTCGTGGGGCATCTTGATTCCTTCAGTTCTCACTATTTTTTATTATTATTATTATTATTATTATTATTATTATTATTATTATTATTATTATTATTATTATTATTATTATTATTATTATTATATACATAATTTTCAGTTGAGAAGTAGGATGACAACTATGAACTGCTAATTTCCTTGCTGGACTAATCAATATGAGATTACAACTATTGTCACTAAGAGCTGTGGTGGCGCAGTGGTTAGAATGCAGTACTGCACGCTATTTCTGCTGATTGCTGGCTGCCAGCAGTTCGGAAGTTTGATTCTCAAGGTTGACTCATCCTTCCATCCTTTCAAGGTTGGTAAAATGAGGACTGTTGTGCACAAAACATTCAATCAGGTTAAAAAGCTTTTTTTACGGCTGAGAATCTGGGGGACATCCAACTTTGTTTCTAGGAACAAAGGTCTTAGAAAAATCCTTTTTGTTTTCATTTTCTCTGTTCCTTTGGACCCCCTAGTAACAATACAGGTAATTCTGGACTTACAACCACAATTGGGACCAGAATTTTGTTTGCTAAGTGATGCAGTTGTTAAGCAAATCATCATGTGACCAGACCCAATTTTATGACTATTTTTATTGTGGTGATAAGCGAACTATCACAACTATTAAGCAAGATATCATGTGAGCATGATTTGTAATCTTTTCTACCAGTTTCCCCACTGATTTTGCTTGGATGCTAAGTGGGAAGTTCACAGATTGTGATCACATGATCACAGGGGTATATATTACAGGCATAACTTCAGTTGTAAGTTACTTTTTTCAGTACCATTGTAACTTTGAACTGTCATTAAGCAAATGGTCGTAAAACGAGGTTTATTGCAGGTAGGGAATAAATGGGAGACGGGGCACATCTACAATAAATACACATGATAAAT